TGTAGAGCTGGAAGCTGAGAACTGGCGACTTTGTAGTACAACTTTAGCACTCGGAGTATCTGGCAAGCTGGACGATGAGAACTGGCGACTTTGTAGTACAACTTCAGCACGCGGAGCAATCTGTGCAGCTAGAAGCTGAGGACTGGCGACTTCGTAGTACAACTAGAGTTGTACTGGCGAACAGTGTAGTACGCGGAGGAGTCATCTCTCGCTGCTCATTCATCTCTCGCTGCTGAGTCAGCTCTCGCTATAGCCATGTCTCGCGGCTGAGTCATCTCTCGCGACTGAGTCATCTCTCGCTGTTGAGTCATCTCTCGCGGCGTGCACGTTCAGTTCATACTGATAGTATTTGGTTGCAGTTATGCAGGACAGGACATTCAGCTGCTGGTCAAGACACCACTCATCATACACCAGTCAGCATACACCACTCATCATACACCACTCGTCATACACCACTCATCATACACCACTCAACATACACCACTCATCATTCATCACTCGTCATACACCCCTCATCATACAAGACTCATCATACATAGTCTCAGAGTTCATGACAGATTTTTCATTCAAATTCGGATTCCATTCAGTCCGATGTGTGATATGCAAGGTTTGCCGCCACTGAAGAATACCGTCTAAGTCCAGGTCAAGTACGGTATCGATGCCTCTCCGCTGCCGTGTCTATGTCGAACACCGCCACGCAAACAAGTTGTTGTAGACATGAGTTGTGTTTAATGTAAGGTATACTTGACATGCACGAACTTACTACATACATACGCGCGAAGAGGTTGAGGACATTGTTTTTCAGTCAGAGGTGTAAGCCAGCGTGCGACGCTGTGGTCCGCGTTGGAGTGTTTAGCAAGACTCACGCAAGAGCACAAAGAACACAAGACTTGTAATGTGTGAACAGTTGAGTACAAAAGTAGAACCAAAGCAACATTACTGCAGAACACACTTTTCACAGAGGACTGGTAATTGGTAAGCACATGAGCGCAAAAGCAGGCACAAAGTAACACGACGACCAAACACAAAGCAACACATCCGATGTGTGGTGGTGTGACCCGCATCGTGTAGCTACTCTCGTAGCCATGGAGACGTCGATGTTCGAAAGGCTTGTGGCTTATTTGTTAAGGTTGAAGTTTTGGGCGCAGTTCATACTGACAGTATTTGGTTGCATTTATGCGTGACAGGTTTTACATGCCAATTCGGATTCCATGCACTTTGATGTGTGGTATGAAAGGCCTGCCGCCACTGAAGAATGCCACCGTGGGATGTGTGTCGATGTGGACCGCATCCTTGGCAAGTCGTGGTGGCCGGATGTGTGTCATCTCTCGCAGGGGGCGCACACACCTTACACACGTGGAATCCCGTGGGTCAAAAGTCCGGAGCGCGTGCGTTTGACTGGAGGACGCGCATGTTGGAGAGAACGTGGACACTCCTATAGGTCAACTTCTTCTTATTTGAAACTTCCGCCGCCGGCTTGCCCGGGAACTACTTGTAATTGATACTGAAAAAATATATAGGAATTAAAAGGAAATCAATGTGAATTAACAGAACATCAATATGAATTAAAGGGCTTCACTGGGCTATTCGCTTTGTGCAATTGATTTTTCCATTTGTGTATAGACTCCTTCAATCTTCAATGAAGGATTTCATAAGGAGCCGACGCGCAAAAGGTTTTGCTTTTGGTGGAGTGGGAAGCTTCAGGAAAGGCTGTGAGAAGAAGAAAAGCAGAAAGATTGTAAAGAAACAGGTAACTATTCCATTGCAAAAGTTTTGCCGGGAAAAAATCGTAGACATTGTTCTAGGATTCTAGGGGTGATATTATTCAAGACTTGGGCTTCGCTGGGCGACGCCCTTTGTGCAATTGTTTTTGACAATCTTGGGATAGGCTTGAGTAAGGGATTTCACAAAGGGCCGACGAACAAATGTGTCGGGTTTTGGTGGAGTGGGGATCATTCGGAAAGGAAAGGTTGTAAGAAAATGAAAAGCAGAAAGATCGAAAAGACAGATGTAGTTATTCATTCATTATTCTAGGAGGTGACATTATTCAAGGTTTCTAGTGTACTGGGCTACCCTCTTGGTGATTTAATCAATGGTGCTAAAGAAAGTTAAAGAAACTAGTGAAACACTGTCAAAGGTAGTTACCAGAGATCAAAAGGAATTCAAAAGGAAGTCAATAGGATCCAAAGGGGGTGCAAAGTAGACCAAAAAGACATCAAACTAAAAAGGTTGAACCAATACAGAAACAGCGGGGACATTATTGCAGGGGGTGATATTGATCAAGATTTCTAGTGTACGGGGCTACCCTCTTTGTGGAATAGATGTTTGCAATAGTTTAATAAGACTTCAATAAAACGAGCTGTAGAAGTTAATGAATCACGTTCAATGGTAATCAATTAGTTAGTTTGTTGATAGAGACCAAAAGGAAATCAATAGGAATCAAAAGCAATTGAATTAGCAGAAACTCAATAATAGAATAGTTATGTTTGGTTTAATATGTGCAGAGTTATTCAACAATGAACAGCATAGACATTATTTTAGGGTGTTTATTGATCATACCAGAGCCATCATGTAGACACTATTCTAGGGGTAGTTACTATTGAAAAATGTAACGGCGCAGACGGTATTCAAGGAGGTGTTTTAATAAATACCTAAAGAACAGACATTATTTGCAGGTGGTGATATTAATGATAAACCCCTTAAAGAAAATATTACAAAAAACACTAAAAAACTAACAAAAAACAATGTTAAACTCAACTTAAACAAATACAAAACTAACAAATACAAAACAATAAACAACACATCTATTTAAGAACACCTATGCAAACATTAATCCGGGGGGTTATCAATCCAACCAAACAATTTGCAGACATTATTCTGGGAGGGGTTACTAATCTGAGTTCAACATTATGTTTCTAGAAATCCCGTGTTTTGGTGTCATGTGGCAGTGGGCATGCTTGTTTGCTCTTGCTTGGAGCCACTTGAGCTGGAAGTCGATGGTTAAATGGTGTTTTGAGTTTGACCTGGTTAAACTTAGACAAGGACAACGACCAAGTGTATTTTGGTCATTGAGTATCAGGGTATACGTTAATTTTCAGGAGTGCTCCTGGGGATGCAACTCTCCTGGAATATGCATCAACCTTTGTAAAATACGGTATATGTTGCATGTCCATGTGCCAAACCCCTAGTAAAACAATTATGTTTCAACACTTGCATCTGCTGCCCGCTTCAAAAGGTGCAAGATGCCTCAGAAAATGCACGTTTGGCATCACCTGTGTTCACCTCCCATTGGAGAAAAATAACAGCAATTTACAAAACTTATTTGAACAAACAAATATCACAATACTACAAAAGCACACACAAAAGTCCTCGAACAAAATGATCGAACGCACCAGAAGAACCAAAAAAGAAAACATCAATAAAAAAGAACAACAACATTCTGAGACTCTTTGCTGCCCAGCCTCCCAGAAACTTCTGGCATATGTTTTGAAAGTGACATTCTTGGACCCAAAAACTCCTTGAACAGGCTGGGCACGCACAGACTTTCGCTGCATGGAGAGCTTCTAGGCTTGAGGTTTGGGATTTGACCGATTTAGCCTAAGTTTGGAAGTTTGCACTTCTAATCCCCATATCATGCATATCCCCATTTCTATTATTTTCCTTTCAAGTTCATCTTAAATTCCTTTTGGATCCGTTTGGCGGTTCCTTTTTTAAACGCCTGTTGATTTCAATGATGTCCTTTGAAACTGTTTTTGCCGGTTTTTGCTATCCCTTTGATTCGTTTCAGAACCTGTTGATTGCAAATGATGCTGTTTGAATTCATGTTGATTCTTGCTGGTTCCCATTTAAACCTGTTTGTTTGTTTGTTTTTCTCAATCATAATTTTTTTATGAATTCCTTTTGGTTCCAGTTGAGGTCCTCTTTTTGAATTATAATCTTAAAATCTTAAATTAATGTTGATTCCTTTGAGTTCCATTCAACTTCTTCAAACTCCTGTGGAATTCTTTAAATACCGCGCGCGTAATTCCGGTTTGTGTTTAAAACTGTTTGGCTAACTTCTTAAAATCCCCCTATTAGATTTGTCCCAAGCGTATTGCAAAAAGTCTTATTGCGCATATAACCTCCACAAGCCTTTTGCGTTAATTAAAGCACCCCTTGGATCAACATATGATGTTTGCGATTGTCTATATTTAAATAACGTTACGCCCTCAAATATTGTTTCCATTTTTTTGCTTTGGTATGAAGTTGTTATCAACAACATCCCCTGCAATAATGTTCCTGTTTATTGTTTGTTTCATTTTTTTTTGTGAATTCCGACTGTTTAGATTTCAAAAATAAATTTCCTTCGAACATCCGTTTGATGTAGTTGTTTCTTCTTAACTTCCTTTTCATTCCAACTGATGTCCGACAAGAATGTCCGTTTTACTGTGTGTTTGAGCTATGTCATACATAAAACACCGTAAAGATACAGAGTTTTGTAAGCAATTGACAAGCAAATGCTACATCCCTACCAACACCCGTTCTCCCTATAGATGTTCTGCCCATGGATGGTCTGAGAGAATGCAGGATAGGCCACTACTTCGCGGCCCTGGTGGAGTTTTGGCTTCGTTGGTGTCCTGTGCTCAATGCGACCAAGGTGCTCGCGCGCCAGCAGGTCACAGCGGAGGTGCGACTCACATGTGGGCCCCCGGCTTTGGAAGGATCATGGGGGTCAGACCGCGCTGGCAAAGAGGGAGAGACTCTGGAAAACAAACTTTGGCTGAAATGTTTTTTGGTTCAGTACTTATAGTAACACAACAAGTAAAAGAACGGTATTTCATCCAGCTTTCTTTTCGTCTTGGGGGGGGAGGCATGTTTGGATCACATCCCTGCCTGGATTTGGGATGGTTCTTCTTTGGACTTTGGGATGTCCAACCTCGTTTGCCACACGCCGCCCGGACGGCATCGCTCCGCTGGCTGGAGCCTCAGGAGCCTGCTCCCGAGAGACCGGGTCAGGAGGACTACACGACGAATCAGCTGAAGTTTCTGGCACGTTTGGAGGCCTTTCAATTGCCAAGGCTGAGTACAATTTGCCCAACCCCTCCTTGGTCAAACCTGGGCCAGAGCATGAAGTGTGGCTTTCCTCGGAGTGTGCTAGGTGTGACTTCGGGCAATGAATGCTTGCACCCTTCAGTAACGCCTGCCAGGGAGATGAAGCACTTCATCTTGAGGCTGCATTTCACTTCAGCGTTTGGGCGAAAGACGTCACATGATGGTAGCTGGCTCGGATACGTACCTGATACTTGAATATACTTGATCGATTTTTGATCATTACTCTAATCGAATATTGTTCATTATGTTTCAATTGATTCAGGGGTGGGGACGGGACTGCTTGGAACCTGTTTCGTGCACAGTGCAAATGTTGCCTTACACATTTGCGATTGCATATGTGTTGGGTGTAGATGTCACATGCTGTACAAAAGAAGTCCGGAACATGCTAGGCCTAGGGGCATCCATGCGAGTGATGTCTCACCGAGATAACGAGATCCAGAGCATTGCCTTCGAAAAGGGTGGTGCCAGTGGAGAAACAAACTGATCAATTATCTAGGTATATAATGGCCTGTTCAGCTGAACTATAGTGTATCCTGTTTCCATGTCATAGTTACATATTATAACCAGTGGCCCTCTAGAAGGAGTGGTTACATGGGCACCTGCCACGCCCTGGTTCGGAGCCACGGCTCGATTTACGTCCACGAGCGAAACGTGGATCACCTTGCTCAACCTTTTCCAAGGGGGAAATTCAATTCCACACAGCTGACAGCTGATTAGGATGATTTGTGTTCACGTTCTCAATGGGTGAATTCCCCTTTCTAGGGAATAGGTGCCTCACTTTTTCCCAGTTCAGCCAATCCAAGAATCCAAGAATATGAACAGATGGAGACCAGGGCAGACTTGTATGTTCCAGAGAAACCTGGGGGGAGTTCAGCATGTGACCATCTGCCCAGACGAGGCTTAGCTCGAGGACCCCGGGAGGTGGACGTGGTGGCCTCGCGCTTCGCTGGAGGAGAGCGCGGGGGAGTGGGCTCAATCCATGTCTCCTGAGCTGTGGAGAGAATGAAGAAAGCTTGAAGCTTCTGGTGGACGTATGTCTTTGCAAGGTTTTACTGTAAGTTATAAGATGTTATGAGTTATACATTATAAGTATATATATATGTAATGATGTAAGTAATTATGCGAAATATGTATATATATATTACATTGCCTTCAAAAGCTTTGACAGAAGACGGTTGTAGTTCCTGGCTTGGGTGACCGATGTGCTGAAGAAGGTCGTGGCCAACTCACCAATGCAAGGATTCTTGCACGAGTCCTTATGCTGGCGCATCCTGGAAGCCCGCGGCTTGGCTGGTTGTCGGGCATGACTTGCATTCCACATGCCCAGGGGCGTGAAGAGTGGTGGGCAGAGTCACAAAATTGCACCAAGTTGCATTGAATGCCCTGACCCACATGCTGTTTCTCCAATGTATTTCAAGGTTCATGTTGAGGTTCGCTGGTGAAACTCGTGCTTTCGTTTAAGGAATCCGGGCACGACTTGCGGCGGAAGCTTCTGTGAAGAAGCAGCTGCAGGAGTGGTGCCTTGGCTGGTCAAGGCACTTGCAGGGCACTGTCCTGAGAGATGAAAACCAACGAACTGGAACGGAAGGGGTTCCTTCCACCAACTCCCTGGGGTTCATGAGCCAACCATAGATGAGATGCATTCCAAAAAACACCAGTATGTGTGTGTGGATGATAAGGACTGGACCACTGCAAAGAAAGCAGGTACACCGGTACACCACAATTGTGGAGACGACGTTTTCTATTGTGTTCTGTTTTTGTTGCAAGGAAGTTCCCGCTGGGCACCTCATCACGGGTTCAGCTGCAGGCTGGGCGCGTCTCCAAGCTTCCAATTCCTCCTCCGCGGTCGCGTCTTCTTCGAGGAGCGGGTATCGCGGGGGCATCGCGGCGTTCTCTCCGGGGTGAGAGGAACTGCGACTGGGAGAGAAAAGAGCTGTTCAGGTTTGGGTGCGAAGAGGGAACCGGTTTTCAAGCCTATGGAGTGCTTCAAACTGATGCCAATTCTTTGAGGCACAGTCACTTGGGTGAAGTCTTCTTGTATCTTGTTGTGCATATGTTGTTACTTTATGGAGATGCGAGCTACTCCCCGGATAGGGCTGCTTGCCCAATGTGTTGTTTGCCATGGAGCTGTGAGCATACATACCCATTGCATACCCCCCCAGGAGGATCAGAAAGGCATCGTCAGGGGATACCCATGATGTCACTCTTCGAACCTATCAAAGGACATTAAATACAATATATAGACACTCCACCTGAACACTCCCAATTGCTCAAACCCCACGTTCCCAAACTTTCTCCTTCTTGATCATGAATGAACGGAGGGATCCTCAACCTGGTCCTTTGCAAACGGCAGTAGTTAAGCTATTTCGAACACGGACGTTGGCACCATCATGTACCATCGTGCCAATTAAGCGGTTCATCAGCATTTTAGTTGGCACCTTGAAACCGGGAATCACATGTGTTTGATCCTCAATTGCTTCGCTGCGCCGCTAGGCCCGCTCGGTGATGTCGATGCGGAGCCTCAAAGACCCGCTGAAATGCCCTGCCAGTGAGGGTTTGGGTTCCTTGGCGAAAGGACGGATTTTTCCAGCGAAAGGCGAGACTATACACCATCCAAGGAAAATCAAGGAACTAACGAGCCAACCAAGCAACACAGGCAAACAGGCCTGTACTTTGAAAGGAGCCGCATACAATCCAAGGAAGCCTTAGGCAATTCTTTGGTCATCACACCTGATCGCTTTTGTCGGTGAGTAGGCATATTGACCTTCTGCACTCCAGACTTGGTGTCCAGGATGCACCAACTTCAGAGATTCAATCCCCTCACTCCTCACCCGACGTTTTACGTATATATATACATACTACAACGCAAAAAGAGTCCAAACCAAGTTCTGATCCCAATCATCATCAAAACATTGATCGTTGGTTGAAAACAGTAATTCCACTGACCTCCTGTAACTGTTGACCCTTGACCTAACCTATACCCCGGACAAAAAGCTGCGGAGCTACTCCGGAAGCTCCGTAGATCTCCGTAGGCTTACTCAGCTCTTCGCAGCCGGTGGGCTGGTGGACCTGGGATCCCTCCGAGCTCTTGACTGCTCCTGGTGCTCACGAGTCACGGTGCCGTGGCGGTGCCAGGACTTCGGTCGTTCCATGGGGTGGTGCATGGTGACAGGGTGCATGGTGGTATCACCACGTACAGAAACCACGTACTGATAGTTTAAACTGAGAACATGAGCTTGGTCTTTGACAATCTGAACTTTCAGAAATACCACTTCTGCAGAATCTGAGGGTGATTTTTCCCAAAGAGGAGCACAGAGCACCAGCACTTGCCGAATGGCTCTGACATGAGCTGTCTTTTGCCTGGGTGGTTACTTTGAACTTGGGAAAAATCCATGGGAATCCCCTTCTCTTCAAACCTGGTTATTCCTGGAGGCTTCATAGGGTTTGAAGGAAATCCCCTTCAGATGACTTGATTGTCATGGAATCCATACAGGTGGCAGTGAATCGGTTCTGGCCGTTTGTTTTTTTATTTTTTTTTTGGGGGGGGGTGGGCGTTTTGTAAAGCAAACATAATCACACAAGGTTTGGTGGTAACGGTCAGGGAGAACAAGTTAAATCATTATAGGCATATGTCAACTGAGGTGGGTCCCTTTGCTCTACAAACGCTGCTCAGTTTGTCCAGCGCGGAGCGAGATTAGATAGATGTTGGCTGTTTAGAGCCTTCAAGCCTTGCTGACTTGGCGCAATGACCGTCGCTCCTCAATCAACAGGACCCTCCCATCAAACCGCTCTCAATGGACGTCATGTATTGGGGAGGGGCGGGGAGGGGTAAGTGTGTTTCTTTTGAAATGGACAGAACTTAAGAACAGTAAGTATCATTATATAATATTCGTATTTGTTTATACTGTTTCCATAGAATTTATGTGTTGCTACTTCATCTATCGTTATTTGATTGATTGCTCTTGAGTCTAGCTGCTAGCTGTATCCTCTTCTAGGTTGCCATTCAGAAGCCGACATATGTTGTTGCACCAGGTTACAATCAGAGGAGGAACTCCCACACTCACTGGCAAACTCAATGCACTCTGTAAAAGTTGGATGTCAACCACTAGGAAGTAGGAAGAGTGAAGTTTGGAGATGTTTTTGCCTTGCGGCTTGAGTCATTTCAAAACACTCATGGCCGCCTTAGGTATTTCGATATGATGGTTTTGTGTACACAGATATAATATATGTATAAATAAATTTACAAATATATATATATATATTCTCACCGCGTCACATAAACGCCTATTCAGGGGAGTATACCCCCCATAAAATATGTTTCCTGGTCTCCAGATTTCATTCTCGGGGAAGTGATTCTATACACGTTTTACTCATTCTACATAAATTGTACAGTAAGTTTCATGATATGATGTTTATGCTAACGGCTCTAAAACCGTACGTGCGTTTTTGCGTTTTTTGCTTCTTGGATGTTTTGTGCACTTTCCCATATATATGTATGCGTCTATGTTGCATCTTGACGTTGCGTTTCACACATATAGGTTAACGTTGCACACTGGGTTGGATGCTACGTTGTGCTATGCTGGTGACGTAGCGCGGGGGGGGGGGGGGGGGGGGGGGGGGGGGGGGCATGTTGACGTTCCTGTGACGTTGCATATGTATGTATAATTCTGTGCATGTGAATATTTTAAAACCGCTAGGCTGTTCACAGTGACAGCCTCCACGTTGCGTGCACACTGAGCTGGACCGATCGACTTTGTGAAAAGGTTCCGATCGAATCGGTGAACATGTGTGTTTTCTCAGGTTTTTTCGTCTTTCAAGCGAATTTTGGTCCAAGTTTTGGACACAGAATTTCCGATTTACAAGAGGTTCCAAACCCTCTTTTCCATTGTTCCCCACATCTTAGTGTGGGGTGGGGTTCTTCTTTTCTATGTCTCATCCCGCTTCTCCCGCTCCTCCCGCCACACCCACAGAGACACACACAGAGACAACACACACAGAGA